GATTCCACCCATCTGGTATTCTGAACTAAGCGCAAAAACATCACCATGGCGGTATATTCACGATAAACTCAGTCTTACAATGATGGAAAATAAAAGAAAGAGAAGAAATAGATGAGACACTTAGAGCAGTCCTCTCTCCCAACGAGACACTTCTAGCAGTCCCCTCTCCCAAGTCTATTCCAATATCTGCCTATCTCCCCCTCTTCCTCTTTCCCACTCTTATAGTACTTATAGTCTAATGGGCCAGCCCATATTCTATGACATGGCCCAGAATTCTTATTTATACAATACCATACTTATTTAATATCAATCTATAACTACTACTCCCTCCGTCCCGAAAAGATTTGCCAAATTTCCTTTTTTGGATGTCCCAAAAAGATTTGCCATTTCCATTTAAAGTAAGGAATATGTGGCTAAAGTTAATTCTCTCTCCTCCACTACTAGAAAAATGTCTTACAGTGACCAAATTAGTGTCACTAAAAGTGTCACTAAACTATGACACTATAGTATCACCAACTTGTGATACTATGGTATCACAAAACTCAACGACACTACACTATCACAGGATTCAACGACACTACAGTATCACATACACCAATTGATTATAATATATATATATATATATAATTTAATACTAATAAATAACTCAAAAAATCAAACATTTTTATTTATATCTCAAATTCTCACATAAATGTGAATATACATGTTACATAATTGAAAGGGACATACCCCACAACAAAAAATAATAAAGAACAAAATCCTACCTAAAATAAAATCACATGTGCCAAACACAAAAAGGCTGACACATCAACAATGGAGCACCCTGATTTGGCACTTATAAAAAAATTGTCTCTTGCCCTGCTTCTTGGCATTCTCCTTGGTAAGCTTCAATGGAGCACCCTGATTTGGCACTTATAAAAAAATTGTCTCTTGCCCTGCTTCTTGGCATTCTCCTTGGTAAGCTTCATTAGCTGAACATGAAATACATCTAATGTACGTTTTTCAGCTCCAACCTGCAAATCACAAATGTATGTTTTTCAGCTCCGAATCATGTACTCTAATAAATGAGGGTGAAAAGCAATAAAGACTCCGTATTTTTTGAAAAGAAAGTAATGAACACTACAAAACTCTATTCCTTCTTCCAAAGCTCTTCTTTTCTAACCTTGTGACATGTGGGAATTTAAGGTGCGGGGAAGTAGCACTTGTGACGTGTGTTACGCACTAGCCAGTCCAACACTATATAGCACACGGAGAAGGGAATTTACTTTGTGTTTCCAATGTGGGCAACTGACATTTGATAGAAGAAAGACTAAATTTTAAAGAAGTAAAACTTTATGTTAAAGCTGGGAATTTAACTTTACTGATCGAACAACAACTTTGTAATTTAGTAGAAATATTAACAAATTTATAGAATTAAATTTAGAAAAAACGTGGTTGTACTATTTCAACTAATGTTTATTAACTTTTTACATTTACAGATTGTCAAATACTTTTTACCTATTAAAATTCATTTATATGAACTTTGCAAGTAAAATATTATCTTCTTTTTCCGGCTCATCAAGTTCTTTCTTCCATATATATAATATTTAGTCAAAGAAGCCTCAAATTATGAAAACTAATGTTTTACTAAGCATTAATTTAGAAAATAGTCAACCAAACAAAAAACTTACCTCTAAAATATAAAACAGTAAACCTTAAGTTAGGTGTTAGAAATACTCCATAATAACTAACTAAAGTCATCAATTAGCATATTCTGTGGGTGCAGCAATATCAGGTTTAGCAGAGTACAAACATCAATAAAAGAGCCTGAAATGTTAACAAGGGCATAAGGAGCACGAGCACCAATATCATTAGCAAAGCAGGTTTAACAGAGGGAGCAGAAATATCATTAAGAGGGGCACAAGAGGCACCAATATAAATAGCAGAAGCTGAGGGAGCAGCAACATCGTGGTTAACAGGGGCACTACGAGCACCAACAGTTGTAACATTGTTAACAAGGGCACTAGTAGTACCAACCTACAATATCGTTAACAGAAACTGCAGGAGCTGCAAAATCATTAACAGGCCGGGGCACTAGGAGCACCAACAACTGTAACGTTGTTAACAGGGCCACAAGTAGCACCAATGTCTGTCACAGCAGCACTAACGGAGGCTTCAACTACCGATAAACCAACAGAAGAAGTACAAGCTGCAAGGCCTCCTTTTGCAGCCACACCCTGTTGTTTGGTTAGGTTTGACACCAAAGTATTGGCTGCCCGGGGGCACTCCCTAAAAGAATAAATATACAATAAAAAGTATTCTAGAAATTCAAACTACTTCAAGTTTTAAGTAAAATGTTACATTGCAAACTCAAATTTTCACCTAAAAGTCCAACAAGATCCACAACCGCCTTGATTCTTCACAGGGGTAATTATGGCATCTTCCCTCCAGTCTTTCTAAACAATAGAAAAAAGGAAAACAATCCACGTCAAAATGAATAGCAAAGAACTTTTGAAATGTATGTTAGGCATCAACTCCTTCAAATATGTCCTCAGTGTGAGGCATTAACTAGTAAAGCTTATTAGCAGCCACAGACTCAACACTTGCAAACTTTTTTAACAGAAAAGTAATTTTCTAGCTACATAAGAGCAAATAACTTTCTCTCCATTTCTTTTGTAATGGAGAGAAAGTTACAATAATAGTCGCTACATGATCCATGACAACTTTTCATGCCGGTTGTGATACATCAATCTCACCAGCCATGAATGTCTTTACTCTTTAGCAAAAAAACGGCAACTACCATTAACACCAAGCTTATATGGAAGTCTCTTCGTGTTATGAGATCTAATCCTCAAACTCTCCTTAAACACACCTAAACGTTGATTGATCTTCTCAGCACTCTCATATGTATTCTCGTACCTGCACGAAATGATGCGCAGTAAACAGAAGAACTAGCTCTATGTTCTCTAACCATTAATTTCTATTCGAATAGATAAAAAGTGAATTGTGGTTAAAATAACAAGCCGAGAATTCAAACAGTTGACATTAAAACTCCATACTTGAATAGTACCAGATACATTATGCAATGTGCATACACACAAGGGGCAGGGTTCTGAAATCCGAACCTGTGAGCAAAGCGATGACCTAGGGAAGATACATTAATGGATTTCGGATAAAACTTAAATTAAATTAGATATTTTTCTTGAAGGATGACCTAGGGACAAAAATTATACAAGATAATTTACATACCTGAAATCGACGACAATCACTCGTGAAGAACACCTAACTAGGACTGACCGGCGACTCCCGCAGCAGAGACAAGAAATTCGGCAATCAATCGATCGAGGAGATGGAGAATCGCTCATTACAGCCTTAGTGAAAGCCGCATATTAAAGCCTTAGCGTGATTCTGAAAAGGTAGACGGAGAATTGCGCATGAAAATCGCGTAGAGAGAGGGGAACGAGGGGGTCGATCTGTCGATGTAGGTGCTGATTTCAAATATTACTCCGTATATTAAAGCTTATGGGCCGGCCCATATGTCAGTTACGCGTGAGTCAAGTTCAAATATACTCCGCAAATTTTTTTTGTGTCACTAGGCAATGGTGAAGTAGTTTTATTACAAAATAGTGACACATTTGTGTTACTAATAGTATTATATCAGCAAGTGTCACTATAAAAGTGTCACTGTAAGCCATATTTCTAGTAGTGCTCTTCACAAATTTCAACCTTTTCGGGACGGAGGGAATATTATTATTCTCTACAGCCCACGGCCCTATCACATTCTCTACCGGCCTGTTTTATTTCTTTGGTTTATCTAAAGGCATCATAAAATGATGACCACCCACAAGAAAAAAGGGCGTTCCTTCATCCTTGCACAGAGCGGCGATAAGCAGAGGTAATCCAAGGGGCTAGGAATGTGCAGATTGATGCAATAACAAGTGTGGAACTTCAAAGGTATTTGCTTCATAATAAAATCATAATAGCAAGTGTGTAGCGAGCATCATTTTCAAATCAAATGATAAAAGCTCTTTCTTTTTGGACATGTTTTAGTTAATTGCTGTTTTCTTTAATTGGGATTGTGTGAGCTTCTCTTCCCTCCCAAGAAAACTCTTTCATTCTCCAATTGCTGCTAGTAAGGCTAACAATGAATAAATCCAAAAATCTTTACATTGACCAGTATAGTAGCAGGAGAATGATGCTGGTTCATCTCCAATTGTAAGCAAACCATCTCCATTTCCATATATCTTTCTTTTCTCCCTTCACCAGCTTGTGCCACTCAAATCTTCTTTTTCCCTGGAAGCACAGAAAACAACAAAAGAAGAAGGAATCAATGACTATTGCCAGTTTATTCAACTGGAGCTACATAATACTCTAAGCCATTACGAAACACCCCCATCAAAATTGTCTTTACATCCAACAAGATAGTTCATATATATATAAAACAAAACCATGAAACATATATACATAACTATACATGACTGTAGAGGGAAAACACATAAAACTAATTCTAAGAAAAACTACCTCATCTATTTCACCCTTTGAGCTTTCACCTGTAAAAAATATTATAGAAATTAATTTACAATGCTTAGTAAAATATAATATGAAGTGGTTGTAATTACAAAATATATACCTCTATATCTTTGGCCTCCTTTCTTTTCCCCCTAGAACTGCTCTCTTCCTCGGACCTTTCCTGCTTGATGATCCCAACTTCCCCTTCTACGTTTTCAACCGTAGCAAGCAACCGGTTTTCTGCTCCAACTTTGATATTGTAACTCAGCACTTTTAAATTCAAGGCATCTCTTACTCCTGCCTTCCTCCCCTCTTTGCTATGTTGAATGATAATCTTGGACATTTTGCTCCAATGATCGACCACAGTATTCATCCAACGCACCCTCTCACCGTCAGTTAGACCCACGCCTCTTAATACCTCACAAGCACCCCCAATTTCCTCCCAATTGTTCATAAAGTGCCCTTTAATCCAATTCGACCTTGTTGCTTCGCAAAAGACGAGGATGAGTGTGATGAGATTGACTCCTATCTTTTTCTTATGCATATTCAAATCGTCATTCGTTTTTAATTCCGATAAAAACACTATTGCGTTGATCACATCGTTTTTTGTTTTTGGAACCTCATCCACCGAAGCAATCTTGGATGCCCTTAGAAAGCTCCCGTGAGATACATCCATTGGCAGTGCTATAGATTCACCTATATCAACATCGCTCCCTCCTAGACTAAACCAGTCTCCAACGTTATTGCTAATAGCAATTAGGTAGAGGTCATGGTATTTGAACTTGCTCATACAATTGTATTTCCTTTCATTCTCTTCAAAGGAAAAGTTGACATGTATGAATTTGCTGTCTTTTTCATTTGGAGGGGCCTTAGGGAGTACATTGATGTTTGAAATTTTTCTTTCCATCTGTCCTAAGGCATCTCGCCAGTTATTTACAAACGTACCGTGCCCTTCTGCAGCACGATTGGCATCAAAGGTAGTCTCTTGCTCAATCTGCATAAATGGTTGACACCCTTTGGAATGAGATTATTTGCAGATTGAGCAAGAGACTACCTTTGATGCCAACCGTGTTGCAGAAGGGTACGGTACGTTTGTAAGTAACTAGCGAGATGCCTTAGGACGGATGGAAAGAAAAATTTCAAACATCAATATACTCCCTAAAGCCCCTCCAAATGAAAAAGACAACAAATTCATACATGTCAACTTTTCATGTGAAGAGAATGAAAGGGAATACAATTGTGTGGGCAAGTTCAAATACCATGACCACTATCTAATTGCTATTAGCAATAGTGCTGGAGACTGGTTTAGTCTAGGAGGGAGCGATGTTGATATAGATGAATCTATAACCCTGCCAATGGATGTATCTCACGAGAGCTTTCTAAGGGCATCCAAGATTGCCTCGGTGGATGAGGTTCCAAAAACAAAAAACGATGTGATCAACGCGATAGTGTTTTTATCGGAATTAAAAACGAATGACGATTTGAATATGCATAAGAAAAAGATAGGAGTCAGTCTCATCACACTCATCCTCGTCATTTGCGAAGCAACAAGGTCGAATTCGATTAGAGGGCACATTATGAACAATTGAGAGGAAATTGGGGGTGCTTGTGAGGTATTAAGAGGCGTGGGTCTAACTGACGGTGAGAGGGTGCGTTGGATGGATACTGTGGTCGATGATTGGAGCAAAATGTCCAAGATCATTCAACATAGCAAAGAGGGGAGGAAGCCAGGAGTAAGAGATGCCTTGAATTTAAAAGTGCTGAGGTACAATATCAAAGTTAGAGCAGAAAACCGATTGCTTACTATGGTTGAAGACGTAGAAGGGAAAGTTGGGATCATCAAGCAGGAAAGGGAAAGGTCTGAGGAAGAGAGCAGTTGTAGGGGGAAAAAGAAAGGAGGCTAAAGATAGAGGTATATATTTTGTAATTACAACCACTTCATATTATATTTTACTAAGCATTGTAAGTTAATTTTTATAATATTTTTTTATAAGTGAAAACTCAAAGAGGGTGAAATAGATGAGGTAGTTTTTCTTGGAATTAGTTTTATGTGTTTTCCCTCTACAGTTATGTATATGTGTTTCATGCTTTTGTTTTTTCATATATATAGACTATCTTATTGGATGTAAAGACAATTTTGATGGGGGTGTTTCGTAATGGCTTAGAGTATTATGTAGCTCCAGTTGAATAAATTGGTAATAGTCATTGATTCCTTTTTCTTTTGTTGTTTTCTGTGCTTTCAGGGGAAAAGAAGATTTGAGTGGAACAAACTGAAACTGTGTACAGCTGTGAAGGGAGAAAAGAAAGATATATGGATATAGCTTGCTTACAATTGGAGATGAACCAGCATCATTCTCTTGCTACTATACTGGTCAATGTAAAGATTTTTGGATTTATTCATTGTTAGCCTTACTAGCAATTGGAGAATGAAAGAGTTTTGTTGGGAGGGAAGATAAGCTGAAACAATCCCAATGTGTGCAAATACCTTTGAAGTTTCACACTTGTTATTGCATCAACCTGCACAGTCCTAGACCCTTGGATTACCTCTGCTTATCGCCGCTCTGTGCAAGGATGAAGGAACGCCCTTTTTTCTTGTGGATGATCATCATTTTATGATGCCTTTAGATAAACCAAAGAAATAAAACACGCCGGTCATTGTTTATCCATCCACACACGTGGACAAGTATGGGCACATTCGTTTCTCATAAGTTTACACCTGTGAATCATAATCCTGTTGAGTATGGGTCCAGCCAACAACTTTTTCTTTTTAAATTACATTTATATTCTAAAAAGTGGAAAGGAGCTAGTTGGTTATATTGCAAAGTATAGCGGAGGTATGGGTTCATTTTTGTACTTGTCTCTTTATTGGCCCACTAATGAATAATATCACGTGGGTACTGGTTTGTTTGGCTTCTTTTTGGAGATGTCTTCAACAGGGATAATTCACTGTTAAATGAATAGAAATTGAAGGGCAGGAGTTTTGTTTTCTTTGGTTGGTTTGTAACTGCCGTATTACTCAAAAAGATGTCAAAGCAACAGGGGTAATCATCCGAGAGAAACACACAGAATCCAGTGATCGAATGGTTCTCTATTTTTTATACATGGTATGAATTAGTATATATCTCAAGTATGTGCGCATGTATATATACATGTGTGTGTCGATATATTGCAAGATAAAAGAGTTTATCATTATTTTATATGCACATGTGTGCGCGCATATAAATGTATATATTGTTTTTTAAAATAAATGTATATTCCCTCCATCTCCTAAATAACTTCACACTTTCGTTTTTAGTTTGTCACAAAATTAACTTCACACTTCAATACTTTTTTTATTTGGAAAATTATCTACATCAAAACAGTGTCAAACAGTGTCAAACAGTGTTTAAACAGTGCAAAACAATTCACGCCACAGTAAAGTCAAATTTATTTTCTTAATTTGTGTGAAGTCAAAGTGTGAACTTAATTGAAGGACGGAGGAGGTATTTTGTTAAGAAAATATCAAATACTACCTCTGTCCCAAAAAACTTTGCCAATTCAAAAAATTTGAACCTTGATTTTGATTAGTGTAATATTATGAAAGCTATAAATTTTATATTTTTTTTATAAAAGTACTTTTAACGAAGAATATTTTCATATAATTTTTATATTATAAATACTTTTCTATAAAAAGATATAGTCAATCAAAGTTTTGAAAATGACAGTTTTTTAGGACAAAAGTAGTATATGTATAATGACAACTTTTCATATCCAGCCGGCCTGACGAGAACCGCCATCCGGCTGAGGGCATTTTGGACACTTCCCGATGGAATTTTTTGATGAAATTTTTTGAGCATGTTCTTTATCAAGTCTAGTTTATCCATACCAAATTTCAGCTCAAAATTCGACCGGGAAGGCATTCAAATAATTTTTTGAAGTTGACTGGGTTTTTATATGTATATTTTGACGCAGTCAACTTCAAAAAATGATTTGAATGCCTTCCCGATCGAATTTTGAGCTTAAATTTCGTATGAATAAACTAGACTTCATGAAGAACATGCTCAAAAATTTCATCAAAAAATTCCATCGGGAATTGCCCGAAATGCCCTCAGCCGGACGGCGGTTCCCGTCAGGCCGGCTGGACAAGAAAATGACTCTATGTATAATTATATACTCTGTATTTGACTGGCAGGTCAAGGCCGGGCCGGGCCACATAGGCAGTTCGGCAGTGTGAAGTGATAACGGATGAGAAGTCTTTGCGTATTAGAAAAATCCATTTGTACATAAATACTTGTATCCATTTTTGTAATTGTATACATGAATATATCCCTTTCCTTTTTATTTGTTCACATGTATAATTAGTCATGGACTCGGGGTCGGGCTGCCCAGAACCGGTACTGTTTGGACCCAACCCGTTCATAGGACCGGGCCACCCGAACCGGGAGTTAAACGGGGCGGGCTCGGGCCTCCTAAAACTGGAACCGGCCCGGAACCAACCCGACCTATTTCTTTCTTATTTTTTTTGTTTTTTTTTTTTTGTTTTATCAATTCTTTTGGTTTCTTCCGGGTTGGTTTGGGTGTTTGGGGGGGGGGGGGGGTAGAAAAGCAAAAGAAAATTCAAAAAAAAAACATGAACCGGCCTGGAACCGCTGCCTACCCAGGCCGATTCCTCCTTCCCCAAAAAAGCCCAGCTGGGCCCAGGTCCAAACTGAAACCCATTCGGCCCGGGTCCATGACTATGTATAATTAGTGGTGGACTCGGGCTGGGCCGCCCGGCCCGTGAACCGGCCCGGTGGCCGGACCTGGGGTTACGTTAGGCAGGCTCGGGTCACCCTAAATAGGAACTGGCCGGGCCCGGTTTGGGTTTTTTTATGTTTTTTTTATTTTCCCGGGTTGGGGTGGGGGGGGGGGGTCGGGGTTTATTACATCTGTTGTAGGAGAAATGAATATTCTCACAGTTCAAATACATCTGTTGTAGATTAGCAAAACCACGAGTTTGTTAAGAATCCTAATTTAAAAAGCGGGAAGTAATTTCCATTAATAAGCAACTCTATTGAAATAAATAAATTATGTTGCTATCCTTCAAAATAACATTGATGCAGGCCAGCTCCTTCTCATTGTAAAGCTTCATGGCATCCTGCTCTGCAATTGATGTAAGAATCCTGTTTACGATTTTTTTGATAATATTGTAAAACATTAGTACTCTAATACATGCTCACAATTGTTGGGACTTGGGACTAGTATAAAAACAATTTGGAGTAATAATTCTGCAAGTGCAAAGTCAATGCCTGTGTCCCATCATTCTCTGTTCATCATCTTCTCAACAACGCTCATCACAGGTTAGTAATTTCATAGAAATATAATGTGCCAAAATAATGAAATCATGATTGCGTATCATTTGCCTTTTCAAATAGATCTGTATACTCCACCGGATCTTCATAGTATTTATCAGCTAGCACATTCTTCAAACCCTGGTCATCAAAAAGAAAAAATATTGTTAACTCGAACAATTCAGACTTCAGAGACAAAACTTCTAAGTAGACCAAAATGAAGTACTTTGAGGAGGGGGTGGGGGGGAGTTCTAAAGCATCAAATGTTTGCTTTGGCATTTCAAATTTGTCACAAAACATGTACTCAGTACTTCCACATCACCGCCCTTATTAGTCAAATAATATAGATATTCAACATTCTCTTCCGTTAAGTCAACATCAGCAAATGCCTCGTCTCTAATTTTTAGAGAAATTAACATTGGAACCAGCATAGACACATCACTATCACTCCAGTATCCGAATAAAATACTCAAGGCTCCCCCTAAAAGACGAAAACATAAAGTACATATCAGTAATGAAACTAATGATGATAATTGTCTTAATGGAGAAAATGTTGCTGCAACACCAATGTTCAATTCACAATTGAGAAAGAAGACCAATTCAAGGGTATAGTTTGCAAAGCATAGGTCATCATTAATGTATGTATATAAATGTTCTCACGTGTGTTTCAACAGCAAAGACATGCCATGGCTAGAGGGGTCTATGCATCCATTTCATGTAATACACTAAAACAATGGGCTAGAGCACAAAAACAATTTTATCAGATCTTCTGTCATTTGCATATGCACTACTCACTCATGTCCAGTAAACAAGAGTCATGGTTCAAGCACTTTTTGTCTCCAAAGAAGAATCAACTTTAACCAAACAAATACTCCATATGTTTTTTCTTGTAATTCGCCAAAAATGTGACAAAAAAGACGCACACAATAGGTTAAGGTTACTTGATCCAACAAATAGATTTGAAAGATATAAACGTGGTTCATGATTTATGAGAGTTGTACGCTTGTATGACACGAAAAGTACAATAAACACATTGGTCAAACGCAATTTTTTGGGGACAGATGTAATACAAGTTTGGTCAACAAACCGACATATGAATCTTCAAGCATGTTGAAATATAAACTAGAATAATATTGAAAGTGGAGGAAAGATTTTTCTGTGCATTTCATTGAAGGGTAAGGCCCTATAAATAGGGATTACAAAGATAGAATATTCCTATAAAAGATGTTATACAATAATACTATATATGGTATTGTAGATTTAGATAGATATTCTGTCAAATAATGTGTAATTATCTTTGATTTTGTTTCCTTATTCTCAGGGATCTAGTTTCCTTATTCTCTCAGATCTAGATTCCATATTCTAGATTCCATATTCTGTGAGATTTAGTTTCCTTAGAATAGAGTTTCCTTATGAAGAGGATTCTCCCTGTATATATATAGGGACTTTGTACATCTATTATAATTTAGGAGAGTGAAGGTTCATATTATATAAAACTACATGGTATCAGAGCCTTAGGGTTTGATTCCTGTTAATTACCCTACTGCGTTCTGAGTTTTTTTTTCCACTCTTCGCTTCAGATCTATTTTTTTAACTATTCCTCTGGTTAATCATGTCCAAAGATTCTGGCATGTCAAGTCCATCATCTGACCCACAAACCCTATCACCAATTCCTTCCAGTCTGGATGTTAACTCTTTTCAGGCTTTACAAATTACGGTGGTCCGGCTTAATGGTCAGAACTATTCAGAATGGGCTCAATCGGTCAAGCTTGCCTTAGACGGACGAGGCAAGTTTGGTTTTTTAACTGGAGAAGAACCAGAACCTGCACCAACTGACCCTTCTTTCCGGCGATGGCGATCTGCCAACTCCCTGATTGCTGGTTGGCTGCTCAATTCCATGGACGAACGGATCCGTCGGCCGTTCATGTATATGGATCCTAAGGATATATGGGATGCTGTTCGTGAGGCATACTCTAATCGTGGCGATTCATCTCAAATATTTGAGTTGAAGAAAAAACTTTGGCTCTCTAAACAAGGTGACAGAGACATCACTACTTATTTCAATGAGATGCTCTCTCTGTGGCAGGAGTTGGATTTATGCTATAATGATGACGTTTGGGAAAATCCAAAAGATCTTGTACGTGCAAAACGCAGAGAGGAAGATGATCGCGTCTTCATGTTTCTTGCTGGCGCTAATCACAGTTTTGACGAAACTAAAGGAAGAGTTCTTGGCCGTAAGCCCCTACCAACGGTCAGGACTGTTTTTTCTGAACTTCGCCAGGAAGAGGCACGAAAAAGGGTGATGTATGACCATGCTCCCTCAATTCTAGAGAACGACAATATGGCTTTGGTTTCAAAGCGTTTTAATGGTGCAGGTGACAAGAAAACGCCATTCTCTTGTGATTTCTGTGGGAAGTTGTGGCACACAAAGGATAAATGCTACAAGCTTCATGGGAAACCATCGTCTACAAAAAAGAAAGGGGACGGGAGAGCTATTGCCGCCATGGCTGAAACTTCTGAAGAAAAAACAGCTTCTCCAGAACCACTACCTTTCACTCAGGAACAACTACAGCACCTGTATAAGCTTTTTAACTCTCCACAATTCACACTTAATTCATCTTCTTCCCCTGCTCCAGCCCAGAAAGGTATTCCTTCCGCTTTTGTTTGCTCCACTCCTTCGGGTTCTTGGATCATTGATTCTGGGGCTACGAATCATATGACACATTGTTCGCAATTATTTTCTTCCTATGAACCTGCAGCAGGGAATAACAAAGTGAAAATTGCTAATGGCTCTCTTGCTGCAATTGCTGGTAGAGGGACAATTCAAATTTCTCCACCTATCACTCTTTCTAATGTTTTTCATGTCCCTAAATTGTCATGTAACTTGCTGTCCATTAGCAAAATAACCCGTGAGCTAAATTGTCTAGCTATTTTCTCACCCTCTATGTGCTATTTCCAGGACCTGAACTCGGGGAGGATGATTGGCAGTGCTAGGGAGTGCGACGGGCTGTATTACCTTGAAGATGGACTGCCTTCAAGTATGGTTGCCCAAGAATCTCCTCATAAATTAGAGTCCGTGTCTACTGATCAAGATATTATGTTATAGCATTTTCGTATGGGTCATCCTAGTTTTTTTTATTTGAAACGATTGTTACCTAAGTTATTCATCAATAAAAATCCATCTTTTTTTAAATGTGAAGCGTGTGCTTTAGCTAAACATCACAAGTCTTCTTATCCTTCTCATAGTTATATTCCCTCTAAACCCTTTCAATTAATTCATAGTGATATTTGGGGTCCATCTAGGATCCCTACTTCTTCTGGTAAAAGGTGGTTTGTCACTTTTATTGACGATCATACGCGTCTTACTTGGTTATTTCTGATGAAAGACAAACATGAAGTAGTCGATATTTTCAGAAAATTCTACAACATGGTCCAAGTTCAATTTAATGAGAAGATTAAAATATTTCGTAGTGACAATGGTCGGGAGTATTTTTCTAATACCCTGACTCAGTTTTTCAATGAAAAGGGAATGATCCAACAAAGCTCATGTGTTGATACGCCACAACAAAATGGTGTGGCGGAAAGAAAAAATAGACACCTACTTGAAATAACACGAGCATTATTACTGGCTAATCATGTTCCTAAATATTTTTGGGGAGATGCCCTTTTAACTGCTATTTACTTGATTAATCGCATGCCCTCTAAACCTTTATCTTTTCAAACTCCTATCCAAAAATTTCATGAGTTTAATTGTGATCTTAAACCTTTTGTAAATTTACCCTTCAAAATATTTGGATGCACTGTGTTTGTGTCAAATCGGGATAAAACTAAGTCTAAACTTGATCCGCGTGCAATAAAATGCATTTTTCTTGGATATTCAGCCTCTCAAAAAGGCTATAAATGTTATGATCCGGTCTCAAAAAAATATTTTGTCTCCATGGATTGCAATTTCTTTGAGAAATCACCGTTCTTTTCCCCTCAACTTCAGCTTCAGGGGGAGCCTTTATCTAGGGGGAGTCAAGAAGCTTCAGTGAGTGTAGGTGATTTAGATTTTTTGAATAACTTAGATAATGATATTTCAACATACTAAAAGTCCTGATGATTTACAACATACTTCAATATATGACAAGAGATTTGGACAAACATACTCTAGAAAACGTCCACTGAAGGGTGTACAGCCAAACATTCCCATGCACGACCAAGATGAATCCCCACGGACAGGTAAAGTTTCTCCTGATCCAATTCCATTAACTCTTGATTCTAATCTCAATCCTTCTGAAGTTGATATGCCTGTTGCCCTTAGAAAAGGAGTGAGGAAATGCACTATTAAATATCCTATGTCTAATTATGTGTCTCTTCAGAATCTGTCTCCTTCTTTTTCTTGTTTCACCTCTCATCTTAATCGTGTGGAGTTCCCAAAATCTATACAAGTAGCTTTACAGATTCCTGAGTGGAAGGCAGCAGTTCTGGAGGAAATGAATGCTCTTAAGAAGAATCAGACATGGGTTAAAGTTGCTCTTCCAGATGGGAAAAAATTAGTGGGATGTAAATGATTGTTCACATTCAAATACAACTCTGATGGAACACTTGAGAGGTATAAAGCGAGACTAGTAGCAAAGGGGTTTACTCAAACTTATGGTATTGACTACACAGAAACCTTTGCCCCAATGGCGAAGCTCAATACAGTTAGAGTCCTACTATCAGTTGCTGTGAACTTAGATTGGCCATTACATCAATTAGATGTAAAAAATGCGTTCCTAAATGGGAAGCTTGCAGAGGAGGTTTATAAGGATGTTCCTCCTGGTTTTGAAAATGAGTTTGGATCTCAAGTGTGTCTCTTAAAGAAGGCCCTCTATGGCTTAAAGCAATCACCTCGAGCTTGGTTCGAAAGATTTACAAGCTCTGTTAAACAGCAGGGATATTCCCAAGGACAAAGTGATCACACCTTATTCTTTAAACGCAAAGGAAATGGGAAAATTAATGTTTTACTAGTATATGTTGATGATATCATTGTCACAGGTGATGATTTTGAAGAAATTAATGATTTGAAGGGAAGTCTAGCACGAACATTTGAGATTAAAGACTTGGGGCCACTAAAGTATTTCTTGGGAATGGAAGTGGCGAGATCGAAGAAGGGAATTGTTGTAAGTCAACAAAAATATGTTCTGGACTTACTCTCTGATACACACATGACAGGTTGTAAACCAGTTGATACGCCGATAGATCCAAATGAGAAACTATGTGATATTGGAGGTGATGAAGTTGATGTGGGGAGGTATCAAAGATTGGTTGGGAAGCTGATATATTTATCACACACAAGACCTGATATTGCTTTTGGTGTTAGCCTCATCTCCCAGTTTATGCATTCTCCTAAGCAAGCTCATTTGGATGCAACATACCGTATTCTTAGATATCTTAAGGGATCTCCAGGAAAGGGATTATTTTTTGAGAAGAGTGCTCAAAGAACTGTTGAAATTTTTACGGATGCAGATTGGGCAGGCTCGACCACAGACAGGAGATCAACAAGTGGATATTGCACATTTGTATGGGGAAATTTAGTGACTTGGCGCAGCAAGAAGCAAACTGTGGTGGCTCGCAGTAGTGCTGAAGCAGAATTTCGTGCGATGGCAAACAGGATTTGTGAAGGAATTTGGCTCAAGCGAGTACTAAAGGAACTCCATCTACCTCTAGAATGTCCTATAAAATTGTATTGCGATAACAAGGCTGCCATCAGCATTGCAAACAATCCTGTACAACATGATAGGACTAAACACGTGGAAGTTGATAGACACTTCATCAAAGAGAAGATAGAAAATGGTAGTTTATGCATACCATATGTTCCAACTTCACAACAAGTGGCAGACATCCTCACCAAAGGACTATTCAAGCCTAGCTTTGATGGGATTGTGAGCAAGTTGGGTTTAGTTGACATATATACTCCCAACTTGAGGGGGAGTGTAGATTTAGATAGATATTCTGTCAAATAATGTGTAATTATCTTTGATTTTGTTTCCTTATAATAGAGTTTCCTTATGAAGAGGATTCTCCCTGTATATATAGGGACTTTGTACATCTATTACAATTTAGGAGAGTGAAGGTTCATATTATATAAAACTACAGGTATATTCCTAATATATCCTAAAGCATATTCTAAAGTATACTTTAATATACTTTCACACTCCCCCTCAAGTTGGAGCATAGATATTTATCATGCCCAACTTGTTACATAAATAACCAACTCGAATTCCATTTAGTGCTTTAGTGAACAAATCTCCAAGTTGTTCCCCGGTCTTCACATATCCTGTAAAGATCAATCCTTTTTGTATTTTCTCTCGAATAAAATGACAATCGACCTCAATATGCTTTGTTCTCTCATGAAATACAGGATTGTTTGCTATGTGTATAGCAGCTTGGTTATCACACCACAATTTAGCAGGCATTGATGTCTTCAGTCCGAGCTCGGTCAATAAATGGCTTATCCATATGATCTCACATGCAGATTGTGCCATAGCTCGATATTCTGATTCGGCACTCGAACGAGAAACCACATTCTGCTTCTTACTCTTCCAAGATACAAGATTACCACCAACAAAGATACAATAACCAGATGTAGATCTTCGATCATCTTTAGAACCGGCCCAATCAGCATCTGCAAAGCATTCTATTCTCATGTGATCATGGTTTTGATAAACAATACCTCGTCCTGGTGCACCCTTTAAGTAACATAATATGTGTTCTACTGCAGCCCAATGATTAATGGTTGGAGATGACATGTATTGACTCACTACACTCACAGAATAGGCAATATCTGGACGAGTGACTGCGGGCAATATCTGGACGAGTGACTGCGAGATAATTAAGCTTTCCAACCAGTCTTCTATATCTTTCTGGGTCTTCAAACGGTGTGCCTTCTTGAGTGAGTTGCACGTTGGGAATCATGGGTGTTGTACTTGGTTTGGCCCCTAATTTCCCCGTCTCAGCTAGTAAGTCAAGTACATATTTACGTTGAGATTGAAATATGTCTTTCTTACTCCGTGTTACCTCAATTCCCAGAAAGTATTTCCAAGAGCCAAGATCTTTCGTCTGGAATTGACTATGCAGAATGTGAAAGTATATTAGAATATACTTTAGAATATGCTTTAGAATATATTAGGAATATACCATACATAGTATTATTGTATAACATCTTTTATAGGAATATTCTATCTCTGTAATCTATATTTATAGGGCCTTACCCTTCAATGAAATACACAGAAAATCTTTCCTCCTATCTTCAATATTATATTTTGTAGTTTATATTTCAACATGGTATCAGAGCATTCCATTTTAGTTTTTAAGATTTCATATTAATTTCCAGACTGGATTCTGGATTCTTTCTTCAAGAACCTGAGTTCATTCTTCAGATTATTCAGAACCTTCAGTTCTTCAGACACCAGTCTGTTTCCAAATTTAGGGATTTCAGTTTTCAGATTCTTCAGTTACTTGAGTTTAGTTTTTCAGATTCTTCAGAACCTCTAGGCACCATTCTAATTTCCCAGAAAATCAATTAGCCCAAGCTAATTTCCCAGAAAATTCCATCGCATACAGTCTGCCCACCAGACCTCAGAAATTTTCAGACCACAAATTTTATCACCACCATACCCAGGTGGTGCGGCTACATCCGACGACCGAGAAACCAAAGTACGCAGGCCCAGATCATCGCGCGTGAGTTACACGCGCCGTCAGAAACTTCTGCAGCAACGCACGCGCCGGCGCGTGACGCCGTGTTTCTGGCCGGAGATTTGATCGGAACTCTTCGCCCGAGACTCGCCTGAAAATTCTCTACCAGGTATACTTTACTTCTCTCGTTCTTTCTTCAGCAAGGGACGGGTGTGGTTACCTGGTTGGTCGCTGGGGTCCGACATCAGATGCTCCGTCTGTGACTTTCGCTCCTTCCCTTCCTCTGGTTGTTCGCATCAACTGGGTCTCGCATAGGATATTTGTGAACGACCAAAGTCTTCTTCACTGATGGTTCGCACATGCTGGGTCTGGCATTAGACCGACACATCTTTAGCCCATTTGTGAAATTAAGTCTGGGT